TATTATTATATATATATATATATATATATATATATATATATATAAGACGAAAAGAAGAGAGTGTTTTGTAATATTTTTAAAATAGAAATAGATAAGAAAAAAAAATAACTTTTTTTCTGGTGTGATGAATTTTTCATTGAATTCTTTTCTGACATTCAAGAAAGAATAAACTCATTTTTTAATATAAAATATGAATTTTTATAAATATTAAATTGATAAAAATAAAATTACATTATGGAAACAACGCAATATATAAAAATTAATTAATATAAATGTAATAGCATATAATGCTGTAAATTGTGGAAGACACAAATTGTTAGAATCACTGTGGTAGAGATACTTAATAGGCGGTACTCGGTGACAGTAATGTCGTTCGCGGCCCGTTTTATTGCCGTTTGCGCTAGTCCAGGACCGAAGTGAGGACATTGTTCGAACGTCTGGGAGTCTCTCATGATTGTCGTGTTCTCTATTCTCGTAATAGCTGGCGTATTCAAATACCACTATCCGCTACTTGTATACGCTTGCCCGGATTGTTGAGCAACGAGAAGAAAAAAAAAAGAAAGAAGGTAGAATCCTGATGTCGTTCGCATAATATCGTTTGACACTGTTCCGTTCGGTTTTGCAAGGATAGGATTGACAGAATAGGCGAATTCGTCATGTTTGGCTTTATATCAAACATCATATCGAGACTCTGTTCGATTCTACATTTAATCACGTCTTTTAAGCACACTTTCTTATATATAATAAAATAATATCTGCAATAGAATTGAAAAGATTTTACTCGTTGTGTAAAATGTATTGTACGAGTAAATCTCAAGATGCGTGTCTATAAATGAAAATAGTTATGTTCCATAGTTTCGAGTTTGTTTTCCTCCGATCAATTTCATACAAATCGCCATCGATCAATTTCGCGGCGAGAGAGAGGCCGACAGCGGAAAGATCTCGCTCTCGTTACTCGCGTAGTATTTACTTCTTCAAATTTTCCGCCTACGCGCACTCGTACTCGAGTTATCGTTATTCCCAAGGCGAGAAAGGAGGATTCAGCGCGTATCATTTACAATTTACTTTTGTGCGATGCGCGATGTTCGCGCCCCCGTCGTAATTTGCGATTTATCGCATGCGGATAGCCATGGGTGCGTCCGCGCACGTACGAAGCCGATTCTAACAAATTGCCGATAGCAAGGCAGAGATGGATCGGACAACAGTACGTGCAACAGTAAGGAAGAGAAAAATAATGGGCCACGGGACAAGAGCGGCCTGCTGCTCTCGGCCGCATTGGTTTCACATAACTGTTAACGGTGTTGTCGGTCGGTCTATATCGAGATCGGCATCGCTCGCCGGCAACAAAAATCACCGCGTCCGCGACACTCGACTTACCTGTTATCAATTAACTGTTAACGTCGCCATACGCCATACGCTCGGTAGCGCATCTATTGCTATCTGCTATCGATGCGAGCGGCGCTATCTATGAATAATGCATCATTGGCATATCTCTCGTGCCACTTAATCGAGTATTCTGACCCGTGTCTTTATTCAGAAGAGAATAACTTGACGAGGGGAACCAAATGAAAGAAATTTTAACTTGACTTCATCCGATTTTTTTATCCAATTTATTCCTTTTGTTTCTATTCGCAACGATCGCTACATTTTTTTTTTTTTTTTGTAAACTCTAATACCGCTCAATAATAAATACCACAGCAATAATAAATTCAAGCGAACGTGAACTTTCGATCAAATGAACGTTTGCGTGATCCGACATTATTTTTGCGTTTGTACGTCGTAAATATAGCTTACGTTATTTTGACTACTTTAATAGTAGGTATATTTATCGGGGTCTTGCGTGTCTTGTGTATCGGATAATCTCACGTGTTCTCTATCCTTCGAATGGGCGCAGTCGCGCGCGCCTGGAGGCACGTAAATTTATGAACGAGGAAACGGCAAGGATGACGCAGGAACATAGCTTTTGCAACGTCTGCTTTCCTGGGCAGCAGAACGAACCATTCGGTGATATAAGGACGAGCGTGGGCGATTTGCTTTTGCGCGGGATCGCAAGCGCAGCTTCAGAACTGGTCTCGAAACGAATTAAACATCCAACGCATTTTCGCGTTGTCTGCGAGGAGCGAGGATGCTAATTTATGGACGCGACTTCGCGGCCCTTTAATTGCGTTACGTAAGATTTTCCCGGTATCGCTCTATCGTAATTTCGTACGATAGGAAATAGCAGCGCGCAATCCTGTATAACCGGAAAAATATTTCATGTTAATCCTGATATTGTCAATTAATATTCAAATTCATCATTATTGATTAATTACCGAAGTTACGAATAATATTGAAATAATGAAATTTGGATTTGGAACGTTTGAGAAATATGTATACCTAAATAATATTTAAAACGTTGATGCTACTAATCGTATTTATTAACGATGGAAATATCGAGGCATTTGCCGCATTTATCATATTATATATATATATATATATATATATATATATATATATATATATATA